TTTGTAAACTCCCTTGGATGGCAATGACCATTATCAATAGGTGTGTATGCCAGGAAAGAATCACAATTTCTTTCAGACTACCTTGGGGTCTCTTATATACTATGAAATCTAAGCAATTACACTCTGTTTTCCAAGCTACATATAATACAACAACAACAAAAGAGGAAAATAAACCAGGAGAAGCCAGCACTGTAACCACTGGAAACGTGAGAACAATTATGCTTCTGAAGCACTGAATATTCTAATAGGGATGATAGATGACAAAAGCTAAGACAGCCCGGTGTGCCTAGCTATTAAGCTTGTTTAACATATGATGGAATGAAAAAAAAGACAAGCGCCAACAAAGATGAGGAGAAACAGAGACGCGAAAATAATTCAAAAAATAATAAAGGATGGATGAGCTCTTAGGCAGCTGAACACTGCACCTTGTAGGACAAAGGGGGAGTTATTTTAAAAAATGCTTTAATAAAAATGCTTCAATAGGTTGAATAACCATTGGCATGCTGCAAGTATATTCTAGTGAAGTGTAGTGCACGTACAATGTTTTACAACCATAAGGCACACCGCCATCCTCTCTTATTTCATGAAGCAGCGAAGGTTCATCTGCATATTACAAATGGGGAAACTGAGAAAGTCCTGAAGGTTGATCAAGGCCATGTAGAAAACCTATGTTTCAGCAGTGCTTAGAATACCAAGTAATTCTTTTTTTAAATGAAATCTTCATATTTTCCCAAGCAGGAAGCAACCGTGACCACCTGAAACCTGAGATCCCACTCCTGCCTTTGTTTCAAGGTAATCTGCATCATCACCTATCCTCACAGGAGGTGAGAGGCTTCATACCAGCTATGAACTGACTGCCCAGAGGAGTTTTCCATCTATTGACTCCTCTGTGAAATCCTATGAAAGCTGAACTTTCATTTCTACCCAGGAGAACTTTTACAATCTTTTCTCCAATGCCTGATGAAGGGTGTTTGTGCCTGAAAGCTTGCAATTAAATAAATTTTTCTGCAAAAATCTTGTTGGTCTAATAAAATATAGCATCTCTACTATGAGTCCTGATTGTCTTTTCCTCTAGACCAATAGGACTACAACCTGGGTACCTGAAGTAATAATTATTGCCTTCAAAAATTCAGTTCCTGTAATGATAGGCAATACTTCTCTGCAGAGAACGTGGCTCAGCCTTGTGGCTGCAAGACAGTATTTGGCAACCTTGGTTCCTTCAGCTGCAATCTGAGCCTTAATGGAAAAAGGTTATTTTGCAAAACTAGGCATCGTGTGCCATGGACCTCAAAGACCAGCTCAGCATAGCTACCTGATCTTCAAGAAAAAGGGCATGGAAGCTAGAGAGCTCATATTGCTTTGTAATAAGTTGCCCTCCCAAAGAAAAGAACCAGGTACCTTAGTTAAAACAAGTAAAACAGGTTCTTGTTCACACATCTAGGTAGCAAGATGAGCAGTTGTAAATCTCAGAGGTCAGTTAGGTTAAAAATGGTTCTCTTTTTACACCCAGTGATAAGTTATTTCCTCTTAACCCTCAGCTGTTATTGCTTATAGTTTGTCTCTTTAGACCCTTGATAGATTTTGTCTGAAAGGCACACTTATGTGCCAGTCTCTACTGTAAAATGCCTGTGACAGTCAAGAAGCCTTGACTTTCATAATTTCTTGCAGCAGCCAAAAAGTTATACTCACTTAGATTGAAAGAAAATAGTCCACCTGCTTCACACTTGGATCTGTACTCTGTGATACCACCCATCGGCATGTGTAGATGAAATGACAGCCCTAAATTGAAGCGTTGAGTTTTTAAAGACACCGCTTCAATTTAGGTAGATTAAACCCCCTTGTTGTGCACACACCCCGCTGACTTACCTGCCTCTCTAGCAGGGAGGGGAGGGCGAGCTGCCAGTGGGCGGAGCAGTCCCTGGCCTGTCAGGGGGCTGGTGTCTTCCTCAGTGGCAGTAACCCCCAGTTGACACCCACCTGCAGGCACCCAGCTCGGGCAGTCCTGGGGGGCACTGGAGTGGCAGAGGGAAGCACTGGGCCCCCATACAGCTCAAGCAGGCCGGCAGGCTCAGGGAGGGAGTGGGGCGGGGGGGAGGAGATCAGGCTCGCTGCTTTTCTTGGGCAGAGCCTGCTTTCCCAGGCTGCTGCCAGGCTGCCTGCAGGGCTTCCTGCAAAGCCCCTGAGCTGCACGGATCCCAGTGCTTCGCTCCGCAGCTGAAGGGGCAGCAAATTAAAACTCCTTGGAGGAGTTTTAGTTTGCTGTGCCCCAAGTCATTTAAGGTGCATTACACCACCAAATATCCTACCAGCAGCTAGAATTAATGAGCAATACACTGCCGAGGCATGCAAACACCAACACCATTAAAGCGGTGCAAAAGCATTTAGCCTGTTTTAAAGTGTCATGCACTATAAAGTGCATGCCCCTTGTTTCGTCTACACATGGCCCATGACAACAGCAGGGAGAAGCTTGTTCATACGAGTGTAAAGTGCGAAGGGTATACATACAATGTAGGAACAAATGGCTGATATGCCATAGTTCAGGTCCAGAAAGCTTATTTGAATTGCTACAAGCTCATTTAAAGGCAAGTTCCTGCTCGGCTTTACACGATCGAGCTGCTGCCCATAGAATGCAAGGCTCTTTGTTCATGCCTTTGACTCAGTGATGTGCAATACAAACACACGCACCCACACACACAAAGCAAGACCAGCTATCAAATGGGAGATGCTAGTAATCACAGCTGCAGCTAACTGGAGAGTTTAGCTAGCAGACAACAAAAGGTGCTGAGGGCATGACTGGATGCTGCAAACACAGGCATGCCTGTTTATAAATCTCTTAGGGATATCTGTCTTTAGCCTCTTGGTTTAGCAATGATGCAGCAGACTTTGAAAAAATGACAACATAACAGGCAATTTGGTCCATGTAGCTCAGTGTCCTGCCCCTGAGGGATTTCATTGTTTAGAGGGAAAGATATATTAAGATCCAAAGAGTAAGAGCTGAAATCAGTGAAGTTTAAACTGGAAATAAAGCAGAGATGTTTAACTGCAAAAGGAACTAAACACAGGAACTATTTAAAAAAGGAAGAGATACGGTAAATTCTACCTCATGTGGAAGTTTTAAAAATGGAGATTAGATTTTTTTTTTTTTAAATGATATCCTCTAATCCAACTAAAACGCATTGCAACTATAGCAGATTGCTATGTAAAATTTCATGGCCTCTAGGTCAGATATAAAGATCACATAGCCTCCTCCTGATTTAAAAAAATAAATAAACCATCTCCCAAAAAACAGAACATGGGTTTAGGTCTATATGGATCCCATAATCCTCAAGATGAATTCAGGGCACACATTCAGACTGAGATCAGCAGTTGTCATCATTAGTCCTCCATTTTGTCCAGGCTGAATGGGAGCTATTCAACTCTACTGCAGCCTGGTGGGATGAGAGGCCGGCAATACTGAATGTCACCATAGACCGTGCTTCTGCTCAACACTCAGCTCTGCAACGGCGCGTTTCAAGGAGAGCCGTGTGCAGCTCTCTGGAGGGAGGCAAAGAGGGTGGGGGACGAGGACAGACAAAAAGGAAAGGTGAAATATGGAAAGATTCCCCTCAGTCAGCACACCGTCTCCCATGCCCTCTACAAAGAGCAAAGGAAATTCCACAAATAAGAAATACATAGGGGAGCAACCATCCCTTGCCAGACGGGTCTGCCGTTTCTTCACATTTCCAAGCCTCAGTGATACACAGCTGCACCTGTCACGAGGCATTAAGTTATGTCAGCAATGTAATGCAATAATAGATACAACTGGTTGTGGCAAGTAAGAAAATGACAAATCAGTCTGGAGAATTTGAAGAGACAGTTTTCGGGTGGAACGCAGGTGCAGGAGCTGGGCTTTAACAAAACTTCTTTCAAAAGCTGGAAGTAAACAATAAAAAAGGCCATTTTATCCTAAGTAGATTTTAGAAAATAGGTTTCTATCCAAATGTTTTGCCACAGCTGCAAGCTGCAGATTTGAAAACTGACAAACAAGATTTCTTTCAAACTCAAATATAAAGTGAGTGGCAGAAAGGAGAGAGACTAAGAGCTCCGTCCCCATTAATATCCCACCACTTCATTTTAACAGGGATGAGACACCTTTAGAAGGTAAGGCACAGTGCATATGCTTATTGTTGATGTGTCACTAGACAAAAATCCAACCACTCATGAATTCACTACTATTCCTACCCAGCAACATGAAGTCAGCCCACCTCTTAGATGACATGCTCTTCCCCATCATATATTTTTATACAATTCTAATAATAAATAAAAATGCTAATGCTGCTAAAGAAGTTCACTTTTAGTTCCAGATGCCTCTTTTTTTTTTTTTTTTGTATTGAAGGTTCTGGATTCACCTAAGTATGCATCAAGAGACCGCTCTTCACTGCTGCCAAGGTTTAGCATGGCCCACATCCTAATTGGCTGTCTCCCCTTTCAACTTCACACAGGCCACATTATCTGCTATTCATTATTGTCATCCAACCCACTTCTTCTCCCTGTGAAACAACAGCTGAAAATAAGCAGGTGAGCCAAATGACCCCCAAGCATTCTGCCAGCCTCTTGTATCCAACACCTTAGAGGTGTGAAAACTTTTGTTAATAATTTTCCTGATTAATACAAGTGTTATAATTCATCTCATTTGTATCTTGGGAGCCAGGTTGGCTACCTTCTTCTCTAACAGGCTAGCCAACCGTTTTCTATAAAACATAAGCTCCAAGGTGTCAAATATTTGAGGGTTTCAGACACTAATGGAAATGCTGGGGAAAAAAAAAAAAAAACATTTTGTGTGCAATGATCATTTACTGGACCACATCAATTCTCTATATAATAGTTAACGATGGGTGCATTCAACACAGCCACCGCCAGTGCTCCCCAGTGCTGTGTAGTTTCCCACTCATTGCACACAAATTGGTCTCATTTCAAAATCGCCATTACTTTCTGAAACACCCTCATCATACTGCCAGTACCTGCCATTGAGCCTTGAGCATGAAGTGAAGTTCTCCTCTTAGATCCATGAAGCAGCATTTGACTCAAGGATTCGGATCTTCCATTGATGACAGTGGGAGTTGTACGGTAGGAAAAGGAGAAAGAAAAAAAAAAAAATCAGAGTTCGGTGCTACAATAAAGATTTAAGGGGGAAACGCTTCAGCAAGCTGAAGGTGTGGTTTGCTAGCTGAACTCAGTAATACAAAAACAACCGGCAGTGAAAGGGAGGCACCGAATTGATCAAAACACCTTTGACATTGTTAACATGAAACAATTTCTAGCTGAATGCATGTGGGAACACTGACTTTTTTTGTCATTTCTAGATATATTCTTTTAAAATGGGGTTAGTTCCATGTACACGGCATGAATTAGGGTCTTGTTACATGGCCATTTTGGGAGGCTCCTGGAGCTCTTAACCCCTGGGCTGTCCACACATTAAAGTGGTTTTAAGCTCTCGTTATGCAGCTCAAAGTTATATCACTCCATGGCAGGATTATCTCTGATTCTCACTACCCAGCTCCTGTTCTTTTAAGGCAGGGGTGGGTAATTGTTTGGGCTAAAAGAGCCACTTAGGGAATATTGGTGACCTGTCACAGGCCAGGTCACTACCCCATCCCCAAAACTCCCTAAGTGGCCCTCCAGCCCAAATAATTGCCCACCCCTAATCTAAGGGCAGAGAGATGAGTAGACAAAGATTAAGGGAACCTAACCTTTGTTCCCCCTTCTCCTTGCACCCCCACCTGGAGTCCCCAGCACATGCACCAAGTTCCCAGCACAGAGAAGCTTTGCAGGGAGAAGGGGGCCAGGAGCCATGGATTATCCAGGCGTAGCTGGGCTGGTCCAGGCCAATGCCGCACTATGCTCCTATTGCACTGCTTCAGACCATGTGGGTGCAGTTGGCGCAGCTCTTGCCTGACTTGGCCTTGTCCTGGGGACTCGGGGTCAGGCAGAAGCCATGCTGGGGTCAGGCAAGAGCCATGCGAGGCACTCCAGCTGTGCCCACATGGCACAGCCCAAAGCAGCACATGGGATGGCACCCCATTAGCAGTGCTCACACCCCTACCAGTCCCTGGCCCAGCAGAGCCTAGATAACCCATGGTTCCTGGCCTTTTTGCCCCTGCAACCCTCCCCCTCCAGTGGGGAGAGCCTTACTTGAGCTTCAACTCATGGCGGGCTGGGCTTTCTGGTTGCAGGGCCAGAGCAGTACACAGACAGCCTCACTGGGCAGAAGCCTGACCAGGAGCTCAGTGCCCCCTGCCTTGGCATGCACACTCGGGGATAGAGGATGGAACAGTGTGGGCCAGACCGGGTGGGGAGTGGCTGCTGCAGCCAGCCTACATGGGAGAGGGGCAAGAGGCACTGAAAGCCAGGGCAGCTGCAGAGCGGATACAATTCTCCTTCAGAGGAGCAGTGATGGGCTGGACAGATCCATTTGGCAGGCTGGATCTGGCCCACAGGTCATAGTTTGTCCACCCCTCGACTAAGGTGTGGCCACTCCCCACAGGTGTGCTGTCCAAACTGAAGTCCTCCAGTACCCCAGGCTCCCTCACACCCCACCCATACAGCAGAGACAAAAGCCAGTCCTGGCTCACCAGACCTCTAATGGCAACTGATGGCTACAGCTTCTAGTCCTGCCCCTGCTCAACAGGCCTCTAGTGGCAAGTCACAGCTGTGCAGGTGGGGGAGAGTCATGAAGGTTTCTAGACTAAGGGTGTAACTGCTCCAAACGCCAAGCTAACACTAACACCGATCAGCATTTGTGCAGCTCACAGTGTAAGGTTTAACAAGGCCCTTATTCTTTTGGTCACTACTGCAACTGAGCTGCACATTTTGCATCTTATTCTTAAAACAAAAGATAGCATTAACAATATGTCAAAACTCATCCATCAGAGATGCAGATAACTCCAGACACCAGACACACCTCAACTCACAGGGAGAATACATATTAGCAGATAAATCCTCAGTGGTATTTACCCTTGAAAAGTTTCTGTTTGCAAAAACCTTTATTTTTTTTCATTATGAATTCCCATTAGGAAAACAAGTGAAACCCAAGAAGTATAATTACCAACTACAAAGGATAAGTAAGGGCCAGCCTACATAAGAGAGGCTCTGCAAAATGTGGTCTTTGAGAGCACTGCATCAGTGAATCAGCACTTGTATTTACAAGTGCTATCCTGCTACCGGAGTTTTTACTCCACAGCAGTACATGAGAAGATGCTGACCTAGCTGGCTGGGGCACAAGGGTGCTTCAGTGCAGGGGCTCCCTCCTGACTAGCCCCTCACAGAATCACCCTCGTGCCCCAGCCAGCCCCTCCACAGCATGTTGAGCCAGGGGAGCAGACCCGGGCTGGCAGGCTCACCCGCAGGGCCCCCTGCCAGTTGGGGTGCTCCAACCTGGCTCAACATGCTGCTGGCCCAGGCACATGTGTAGACAGTGTACCCAGGAGCAATAAATGGTGGTGTGATAAGCACTGGAGTTTATTGCATTGCCTTAATATGCTCATGTAAATGCACCCACTATCTCCTAAAATCTAAGCTAGACCATGAAAGTAACTCCACCTCAGCAAAACTGAATCTGAAAAAAAAAAATCTCACACAGAGATTTAGGTGATGCTTGAAAAGCTCTTTGAACATGGGGAGAACTATGCAATAGAAGAGAAATAAACCAATATCCTTACAAGGATATACCTTTTCAACTCAGCAGCGCACTGTTTCAATTCAGTAAGACACCGAAACAATTAATAAGTTGACTATCTATTTGTACATTAAGCTAAAGCAATTTCTTCCTGTGACTGAATTTATGACAGCCATTATTCACTTGGTAACTAGTTACATAGTAGTAGCACTCAAACACACCATTGTTTGAAAAAGTAAATAGAAGATTAAATGTTGTGCTGTTTTTATTTTAACTTCATTTTTTTAAATCAGTTGATTTAATGAAACAGAGGAAAATTCCTAACGGTAAAGAGGAGGATATCCATTTTTTTTTTTTTTAATATCACAGAGAATTGTGTCTTTGCGCAATCCTTTTAAGCCAACCATAGCAACACACCTTTAACATTTTTATAATTCTTAGATTTTTTTTAAAAACACATTTGAGACTCAATCAACGGTGACAGTTCCCTAGGAAATCCTATTAGACTGTTAATAATTGTATCTGTAACAAGCACGGTTAAAATCAAGACAAAACTAAAACAAACTAAATTCTCTCACGGTACTCATGAAATCCTAATATAAAAAGAGCTAATTGTTAGGGATCTCACTCTAAACGGACACAGTCAACCCCTCAGTGGTGCTGAGCTCTTGCTACACACTTGCAACTCACAGAGCTGTGGGTGCTCAGCCGCTCCCAAGATCAAGCTTCAAGAAGCCTTAACGATATTTTGCTCAGAGACGAGACGAGACGAGACGAGACGAGACGAGACGACTGCAGTCACATGGATTTCAAACTCATGTGGATGGCATTTGCTTTTGAAACCTACTCACCGAAGCCAAGGTCATTACTCTGGAAATAAGTCTCCTCTGAGGTGACTGACACAGTTCAACTCGTGAAACACCTTCTCTAACCCTACCACGCTTAAGGATCTTCATAGCAAAAGTGTGAGAAAACACTTTCTAGCATGTGGTCTATGCAATATCAAGGGAAAATAGAGTAGATGACAGCTCAGGCAAGTAGCTGTGCACTAATGGTTCTGCCAATCCTTAGTATCCACAAATCATTCATTCATTTTCCCACACATGCCCCACCCCCCAAAATCATGAGATTGGCTTAAAAAATCATTTATTAGAAATAACAGATCCTAAGATATTATCATCTCCTTTGCTTACATATTGAGCCTTCAGGCTTCCCAAGTTGTCTCTCGAAGTACAAAGTATCAGGAACAGAAAGTACCACATACCAAAATGAGAGCTGAGGGAGATCCTTTTCTTCCTATAACATGACTCCAGGAGCTGCTGTCCTCTAAACACACATCATCCAACCCAGTATAAAAAATGAGAGCTGCAATTTGCAAACAGCAGCAGGTGGCAGGAGAAAGAAAGCAGGGACAAAGAGAGAAAAATCTCTTGCAGAGAGGGGAGAAAGCATGGCTCCAGAGCACCCCAGGCCAGGCCCAGAATAGCCAGAAGATGAGCTCCACACCCATCTGGGGAACATGACCCTTCCCATGCTTAGTGTGCAGCTTTTCATCCCAGAGCTGTCTCTCCTCCCACAGAGGCCCCAGCTCCACTGGCCCCTACCCAAGCCTCTGGGCAGGATGAGTTGTAGCTCCGTTTGCTGGACCTGTCTCTGCTCTGGGCCTGCCCAGTGGGTCAGGAGCCAGTTTTGCTCTGCACTGGTTCTAGGCAACTCCCACAGAGTAATTGCAGAGCTGCACCATGCAACCTCCACACCAGCTGGTCCCCACAGTAGCTCCCAGCAGCCTCCTCTGCTGCCTTCTCTCCAGATGGGGAAAAAAACCCACTGATTCTTTCTTCCCCTCACCCCTTCTAACCTGAGCCCCTAGCTAGTGGAGGGACAATGGGGGCCATGGGATAGAGACACAGATGGGAGGCACAGCATTGCAGGTGGAAAAAGGCAGGAGACACAGGGACAAGGGGAAAAGGAGTAAGGGCTGGGAACACATGGGAACAAGTCCCTTGCTGGTGACAGAGGGACACTGTCAGCAAAAGCAACATAACCTTAAAGCAAAGCACAAGCTCTCCCCCATAAATCTGATACAAAAGAAAGTACCATTCTTTGGCAACTCCTGAATAAGACAACAAAGAAAAGCCCAAGGAATATGCAACAGAGCAAAGATAAAAAGCACCTCTTTAATATGGATCAGCAGCCTCTAGGGTGTCTCCTGTGCAAATGAAGCAGCAACCCATCTTTCTGTGAAATGTTTGTGCGACCAGACTCTGGAATAGACTCCCAGTGGGCGTGGTGCAGGCACCTACCCTGGAGATCTTCAAAAGGAGACTGGACACACACTTTGCTGGCATTATTTGACCCCAGGAGCCTTTCCTGCCCAGAGCTGGACTGGACCTGATGATCTCATGAGCTTTCTTCCAGCCCTA